ACAATTATCCTAGAATATACAATTCTGCGCCTTTGCCTTTGAAACTAACTTTTGTGTGTTTTCTCGTTTGTACAGGTTTTATCTGGGGTGAAATCAAAGAGATGTGGGATGGGGGATTTAATGAATATGTACATGACTGGTGGAACCTAATGGATTTTGCTATGAATTCCCTCTATCTTGCAACCATCTCTCTTAAAATAGTTGCTTATGTGAAGGTAAGAATATTTCCTTGTCCACAAAACATGCCTTATGTTGTTCATGTATATATAAGCCTGATAAAAATAATTTCCTATTTGTGCTCCTCGGTGGACTATATACAAACCTGGACCTTGTTAAACTTTCTAAAATCTCAATTTCTGTCTCATTGCTTGCAGACTACATAACACCTGATTTTGATGAGTTCAGTCTGAAATAAAAAAGGGAAAGCAGTAGGATCTAAGTTAATATAGTGTTGTTCAACTGACAGGTATTCAGAACATTTTTAAGATTAGTTATGACCTATGTGCATTCCACTAAAGTCAATATAATATTAAACTATGCATTTTACAGAAAAACAAGTTCTATTTACAAAGTCATAAGGTTTGCAGGACACATATAAATAGTTTTTATATTAAACGTTGAGTTATTGTTTAGTCAAGAGCCTTAGTCTCCATCCACACCTGATCATTTGGTAGCTTGAAGCTTCGAAACATTCAACAAGCTAACTCCCATGCTTTCCAATTGTCCCTGTTCATATTTTGGGGTTCAGGTGTCTGTAGCTCAGTGGCTGAAGCTTGAAAAGGTACACAAGCTACTTTTAAAGCAGAATTGTGTGTTTTTTGACTCATTGACTTCAATGGGAGGGTTAAAACAACATTATATGCAATGATACCAATGAATGGCCCCCACGCTTGCCTGACCTAAATCCAATAGAATACCTCCAAGATATCATGTTTTGGTCCATCCAACGCCACCAGGTTGCACCTCAGACTGTCCAGGAGCTCAGTGATGCCCTGGTCCAGATCTGGGAAGAAATACCCCAGGACACCCTCCGTCGTCTCATTTGGAGCATGCCATGCCTTGATTGTCAGGCATGCACACACGCACGTGGGGGCCATACAAACTACTGAGTACAATGAAATTTCAGCAAAATGGACTAGCCAGCTGCATCATTTTTTCACTTGGATTTTCTGGGTGTCTTTGTAGGTTGATAATTTTCATTTCCATAAAATGATGGGGCATCCTTACATTCCTAACACATTACCCAGTCCATAACAGTATAGATATCCGCATGATATGTTTTTCCCATTGAGATCTGATGTGTTTTCAAAGTGTTCCTTTAATTTTTTTGTTCAGTGTATATGTATTAACACTTTAAGTCCAAGCCTTTTCTGACACTTTTTGTTTAAAATCAGTATTTTTTGCTAGAAATTTAGTTAAACCCACAAACATTATATAGTTTTAAAGCAGAGGTCCTAGAGAATAAAATGGTGGGTGTTGCATTTTTTTTTTTTGTCACACGGTATTTGCACAGTGGTTTTTCAAATACAATTTTTAAAAAATTTTATTTTTTAATGTTAATGCACAAAACACAATATAATACCCAATTGTTTGGTAATATATAAAGCATGATGTTACGCCGAGTAAATAGATATTAAACATGTGATACTTTAAAATTATGCATGCCCATGCAATGATGACAAACTATGTACATTTTATTATCCATAGGTGACTCTTTAAAAGCCTTTACAATTTACCACTTTAAATGTACATAGGAGGTCTGGAACTTGAATTACTGCCCTCGATCCGACGTTCACAGTGATACCTCACAATCAAAGTGTGATGTGTTCACTGTTTATGTATTCGTGAGGGACCGACATGTGCATTCGCCTTTGCGTATTTTTTTTTACACTGTCCCTTTTAATTTTTTTTTTCTTGTTTGATCACCTTTATTGTTGTCACAGGGAATATAAATATAGCTATAGGCAGTGACAAGCACTTTCCTTTCCTGACTAGCTCCATGTCAGCGCACACTCCCACCCTGGAACAAAGTTCTAGTTACGCAACATTGTCCTGGGCAGTGGGGGTCAAATTTATGAGTTAGGTCCTGATAGCATAGGGGTGGGCGGGGCATACCCGGAGGTGGCTGACGTGGAACTTGTCAGGAAAGTATTTGATGTTCAATTTTCCATTTTCCTGACAGCTCCATGTCAGCCACCTTCAGAAAATAACTAGATACCAGCCTGAAGCCATCAAAATTATTTGATGTTCAATTTTCCGTTATTGCTGCTTACAATTTCTTAGATGTGGTTTCCGCAATTGTTTTTTTTCAGGCCTTTTTTTCCTTTATTTTTACCTGGTGATTGCTCAGTAGCACACCTTTTGTCCTAGGGGGACAATGCTTATGCACCATGCTGTAAATATTGAGAAACAGCATTATCATCCCGGGACAGAAAGTGTGTGTGTGTGTGTGTACTACAGAACACCTCCCCATCTCCTCCCCATAGGTGTAAGGTGTTTTGTAGTCCATGGAGACAATTGGAATCATTTATAGCTGATGATAGTGCAGCACAGGCAAGGGGAGCACAGGAAGTTTGCAGCTCACAAGATTTTGCAAGTATCAAACAAGAAAAACAAAACACTTGTAATGATTATTGTAAAAAAGGATGTCTGCACATTGACATCACCTTTATTGAAAGCTAAACATGGACACAACAGACATAATACTCCAATATGCCCATAGACTGCCCTCCCCTGACACACTTTGCCCCCCCCAAAAGGCAAGGGTACAGAGATCTTTCTCTGTGCTTCTATCTCCTTCTATTTGTGATTGGATCTGAATGTCTCTTGGAAAATTCTCTGCAAAAGACAATTCTCTGTAACGATCAAGGTGTTTACTATAGCTTATTCTTACAAATTGTGCTACCTAAGGTAGCACTAGGCAACTAACCTTCCAGCACCCATTGCACATCTTCTGGGCAACTAACCTTCCAGCACCCATTGCACATCTTCTGGGCAACTAACCTTCCAGCACCCATTGCAGATCTTCTGGGCAACTAACCTTCCAGCACCCATTGCACATCTTCTGGGCAACTAACCTTCCAGCACCCATTGTCACATTTTGAACATGTGACAAGCAGCAGAGGACTAGAAGCTCCTTCTGCTTATGTTTCTCTGTAGGCTGGGAAAGAGCTGGGTCATATGACAGCGGTATATTGATTTTAGAAAAAAGGTACTTAGATTTTAGTTTTTGTTAAATAATTACAGTGCTATCATCCACTTACAGAAATAGAAAGGACGATGTAAATGAATCAGTGTGTGTTTAGTATCACTTTAAAGATGCAAATCTACATCTCTACAGTTTCTCCTTAGTGCACAGAGGATTAGGGAACAGGTCTGTTACCCGGGTACTTTGCAAGAATCTTGTCACATGCCAACCTTAAAGGGCAATGCATGAAACAAAATTCTTGGGAACAGCTTTTACAGGTCTCAGAAATTGCATTTTTACAAGCCAGCTCTAGGAATCTAAGACATATGGGTGCAAGTAATTCACTGCTCCTGTGCCCCCTGCTTGATACTTCAGTTTGGATTTACCTTTTGATATCATTTCAGACATGTAAATTTAGGCCCACAGATGCACTTTTTCCCTAGTTAATTGTCATATCTTAAGAGCTGCTCAAGAAAGTATCCTCTAAGAGCAAGTAAAAAGAATGTGCTCTACATCAAGAGTGAGTTCATATTTAAGTATTTTCCTATTGGCTGTCAGCAGCATATTCAATAAACAAATGTATTCTTAAATTGTCTTGGCAAGGCGTACTAAGGCCAGAGAATAAAGCATACCATGAGCATAAAAGCACTCACTGAAGTCAGAGCCAGTAAATTTTGCATTAAAAGATTCAGTGGGAAAAAAAAATGTAATGGTGCTGCTTTTCAATCAAACGTATTGCTGTTCTATACCTATAGGCTGGGCTGACATATGAAGGGAGTCAAGCTATTCTGTATTTCCATTGGTATACCTAGTCTTGTTTTGTAAAGAATTTTGTTTTATGGTTATATGATAGCACAGCTGTTTTTCATTTTTAAAACAAGTTTGGAATTATTTTTTTAAATGCTGGGTAAAGTGTGTGCAATTTTAAAGCTTGATGTGTCAGATATCTATTTACTCGAATAATATCGTATTTTATATATTACCAATATAATGAGTATTATATTGTGTTTTTGTGCATTTAAATTGATTAAAGTATATTTTTTCCAAAACATTTGTGTTTGAAAAACTGCTTGGCAAATGCCATGCAACATAAAAAATTGCAAAACCCACCATCTTATTCTCTAGGGCCTCTGCATAAATAAATATATATATATATATATACAGTACTTATGATAAATAATAATTAAAAGTAGTATCTTTTTTATATGTTCAAACTTAAGTTACTGTATTATTTCACTATATTCACTGTTCTGAAGCTGTCATGAAGGATAATTCCAATGACAGACAAGATGTTACCTGCCTTAGTGCAATTTTTGTATTAAAAATCCAATATCTGCCACTAAACTGGGCTGGGATTTTAATCTACTTGTTGTTTTGACCTTGCAAAGTGGGCACACTGAGATAAGTCAAATCAAGTCCTTCATTACAAGTTAAAGATGACATTTCCTGAGGCAAAAGGGCAATGCTACCAATGATTAAATTCACCATTTGGCACAAGCCCTAGGAAAGTTTCTGTGTGACTCAGCCTTGATAATTTACAGTTTGTTCTTGTATTTATTCTTTCAGTACAATGGCTCACGGCCAAGAGAGGAATGGGATATGTGGCACCCCACACTTATTGCCGAAGCACTCTTTGCAATATCCAATATCCTGAGCTCCCTCCGTCTCATCTCTCTGTTCACGGCAAATTCTCATCTTGGTCCCCTGCAAATATCACTAGGGCGGATGCTGCTGGACATTCTCAAATTCCTCTTCATCTATTGCCTGGTGCTTCTGGCCTTTGCCAATGGACTAAACCAACTATACTTTTATTATGAGACTAGTGCCTCTGAAGAACCTAACAATTGCAAAGGAATTCGCTGTGAGAAACAGAACAACGCCTTCTCCACGTAAGACAAGTCCTTTCTTCTCCAATTCTCTTCTTTACTTGTTTTAATAGATGCACTGTTATGTCAAACAGAGATTTCTTTCTTACTGTTTATATTATACCCCAGGTCAAGTTTTTAATGTTTTCCATTTAGGTTAATAAGTTTCTCCGTTTGCCCTTTAATCATGGCCAGCAGGGACTAGTATCCCACAACCCCATGTCTTTAAAAGCACAACTAAGGTTGATTGAGCCATCATTGCTTGCTTTTGTTTTGGTGTGCTTTTAATGGAACCACATCATACTGTGCCAATAAAGTACAAGTACATTTAAGTGCATATGTGTGAGGGTATCTCAGGGGCGGACTGACAACTCATGGGGCCCCCGGGCAATAGTGGATCATGGGGCCCCTGTGTCCTTGCCCAAACTCAAAAAAGCCTATGAAAAAGGTACCAGGGGCATCTCATTGGGCCCCCTACTGCCCCCGGGCCCTCGTGCAGTGCCCGAGTTTCCAAATGGTCAGTCCACCCCTGGGGTATCTTTAATGATACAAGGAACAGCTGACAGTGATAGTATTAACAGCCCAATAACTGTTGGTTGGGTATGAGGTTTGGGTTCTCCGCTACCATGGGTTTGAGGTGAATCCTACATGTTCACAGTCCTGTGAACTTATGTGCATATTTGCTCAAGGATGATTTTTTAAAAATTAAAATGCACTGCATGGCCTTTGAACTATGGCCAGCAGGTGAAGAAAAGCCAATAAGAAGGCTCTTCTGATCCATTCCCCTATCTATAAAAGGATAGGAGGAGGTACACTACAGCCATAGTGTCAGTATACTGGAAGCTGCTGTAAGGAAAGCTGACCCACTGCATAGGAAGAGACTCGGATTAGCTAGGAAAATGTACTTTAGTAATGATTACAAGCTCTCTAAGCATTCAATCCCTTTGCTGTATTTTTGAGTGCAAGCTTTCTTTCTTGGAGTTTTCATTTATTTTGGAGTTTTTCACTTGAAACAGTTATTCACATGAATTAGCCCTTTTAGAGCAATGCACAGTACGAATACATGTTAATGTATGTATGTTATTGCACTACAGATGTGTTAACCCAGCCAGTAATGGAGATCAGAGATGCTAATGCCTTTGTAGAAATTACATAATAAAACTAAAGCTGGGTACAACTGGGTGAACAATCGACCGGTTTTCCTCAATGTTTCACAGCAAGTTGAACCCGAGGATGCTACTAACTGTACGAACATTTTTGAATGACAAAGGCTTTTTTTGTGTTTGACATAGAAACGTTGTAGCGTAGATTATTGTTGTTTATTGTTTGTGATCATTTACAGCCTTTCGTATCCGATTTTTCTAGTAGGAAAACAGTACACATTAAAACGAAATTAATTTTGGAGTTTGTTTCTTCTGAAATTTAAGTTTGGAAAGTCTAAATTGGATGTTGAAAGTTGTGTACACACTATACAAGAATCAAACGATTGGTCCTCGTATAGAATCTTTCTTTCACTTTTCTCATAGTGTACCCCATTTAAGAAAACTGGTAGATGTAGCGGGTGTAATATCTAGTCCATGATTATTAAACCTCTACTGCTCCATTAAGCATATCCCCATTCACCAGGTCTTCACCTCTCCTTAGCTTCTGCAAAGTACAATTCAATTTCTAAAGGACTTATTGGAGCTTGGTATAATGGATCCCCTAGGTAGCTAGGAGGGAAACATACAGCAGAGGCACAATCCAGAAACTATAGTTTTAAGAACAGTTTAGAAAACAGTTAAATATTTTTTTCAATCTATGGCATTGATGAGCATTTCCCTGACACAGTATGTTCCTGTATATGCTTTAGATACAAAATATAGGTATAAACAGTATTTTATATTTTTTTACTACACTATAAAGATTGACAGATTTCATACAGCAAAGGAAAATTTTGAAAAATCAACACATTCACCTGCTCTTTCAGACATTAATAATATATGCCGTAATGATAAAAGCATAAATGGAATTGACACTAGAATTCATAGAGTTCTTTGTCTTCTAGTTTGCTCCGAATAATGGTTTTCAATAATCAATAACCGTATTAACAATTAAGAAAGAGCCTGTGCACATACACCATGTATATAGATGTTAATGAATTCTGTCCCTGCTCTATTTATTGTTAGACAGCAGGACAATGTAGGGACAGGAACTCTCATTATTGATCTCCATGAAGAGACCTCAATGTCGATTTTACACTTTTAAAGACTAGAGACTTAGTCCAAAACACTAGGGATTTGGTCAACAATTAAGAGCTTTTTTTAAGGTTTTGTTGCAAAAAACAACCAAATTGTTTTAAAGTTACTTAAATATGAAAATGATGGATGAAGTTGAAGTTTACTGCTAATATAGGTTAGTGGCATATTCTGCATATTTGAGGTTTGTGGACCTCTGTAAAATAATGTGAGAATTTGCCATAGTTATTAAAATGAACTGCCTGGCTTTGAACTTAGGTCATATAGCTTAGAAGGGTCAATATGCAGCCCCCTCACTATAAAATGGTGTTTTCCCAGCAGCCATATTGACAATGTGCATTAGCTGTCATAGGAAAAGCATAGGGAGTGCTGTTGACAAAGTGCAGAAGGAGATATTAGTGTAGGGCTTGTGTCCACTGGCAGACATGTAAATTAGATGTAAACCCTAAAGGTCATGTAGGTAGCCAAAAACTGTGTATGAATTTGGCAGTGGAGGAGGGAGTGTTTTTACCATATTTTATTCTTTGTTACATCTTAATGCTGCTGATCTCCTGCAGCCCCTTCACAGCCTATCCCTGTCTAGGTGCACTATAGCCAAAACAGGCTGCATGTGTTTTTTTTTTTAACTAGCCCTTTAAATATGTAGTCTCAAAATATAAATCACACACAAAGTGCATTATCACAAAATCATTTTCAATTGTGCAAAAAGCAGTGCAAAAGGTGACAAATTGTGCAAACATAAATACAAAAAAATGCTGCTTCATAAAGATAAAAGTTCATGTGAAGTTTAAAAGTTCATATAAAGTGTAAAATATGAAAATATGGCATCAGCTGATATAGCTGATGGTGCAGTATCAAGAAATGTGGTAAATAGTGCAGGCAGTGACACTCTCCTCCACCAAAATGAACCACAGGCCTCTTTCCAGATGACAAAACCACTTTAGAATAGGAAATTAAATGCAGCTCAGTCAGATAATCAACATAGTAGTAAGTCCCCTCCGGCCACACTCCTTCAATTCTATATGCAAAGTAGTTATATCATGATCTTATTAAAAGAAAAGGCCTCACATAATACAGTAAAAGAATTTCCCTGTTGTATTTATAAAATTATACAAATATACAAGCATAAAAACATGAAAGCACATTCAGACATTAGATAGTTTGCTCTGAACATTGCGTTTCATCACAATTGATGTCATCAGGGAACAGGAACATATTTCTCATAATTGTTGCTGGCTGAATTTTTTTTTTCCACAGGCTTTTGTTTAAATGTCAATAGTGAAATATGCGTAGGCAATGTTCATCAGCACAGATTCTGGCATGACAGGTGCAGCAAAGCAGGCTGGTACCCAGAGCACATATTAGGCTCTGTCCGTCCAGTGGAGTATCATTGACACGCAGTAGTCCATGGATATGATTGCTTGTATGCATTTAATTACAGCATTGTTGTCCCTGAACCTGTTTGCTTGACCAGGGCAAAGATGGCCTTGCAGAAAATATAGTTATGGAAGGTGGGAGAATGGGATGGGAAAAGGTGGGACTTTCTAGGCCATAAAGTAGAGGAACAAGGCTGTTGCCAGCTGATATGGAACCAGTTGAAGCAGCAAGCTGGCAGGTGATGCTGTGCAGATGTGGGTTTGGAGAACTTGGCATGATAGGATTGTTACTGGAGATGGTGGGAAGGAGGAAGGAGAGGAAGAGTGGGCAGAGGGGAAGAGGGAAAGGAGGAGGTGGAGTAAGGAAACATCCTCTGCAGCATGGCCAATGCTGACTTCCAGCATGTGGAGATGTCACAGGTGAGGCAGTTGGCAGGCAGCTGATACTGGTGCTGCATTTCTGCCAGGTGAACACTGGCCAGGTATGACTGCCTATAGTGGCCACAAACTGATCAGACCTTAAAAAGGATCTCCCGGAAGCAAGGGTACTTCGCAATGAACTGCTACACCACCAGGTTGAGGACCTATGCTAAGCAAGGTATATGTGTGATTTTTCCTAGGCAAAGGGCTCCAGGAGGTTAGTATCATTATCACATATGACCTTGCCTGGTTTAAGATAGCATGGGGTGAGCCACCTTTCAGCCTGGCCCTGGGGAGCCACAAGCAGCTCTGGCCCAATGTATCTCCTGTCCCCCAGACACATGGCAGTTTTTAACATGGGATGTTACATATGATGTGGGCCCTTGGGGTGACTGCTGGTCCCAAGGAGTCAAAGGTTGACTCTGTGCATGGGTTGGGGGCCTTGCCATGGGAGATTTTCATGCAGTAGATGTAGGTCATAAATCTAGACCACAGGTAAGCCTTTTTGATTTCCATATGCTAAAAGAGCACTTCACTTCAGTGCTCTTCCAGCACATGGCTTTGCTCCTAGATAGTTGCTGTGTCTTTAACCATTAGCCGCACGGCCAATGGCCATTTGGCGGCTTCAAAACTGTCTCTGCACTCCGGGTGCACGCCATTTGGCATGCTCCCGCACATGCGCAGTTTGCGCTAATGCAGAGCGGCGCAGCAATGCGATCTGTCACCGGCCGTGCACCTCGGACACGGCCGATGACAGATCCGAGTACCGGCTTGCTGGTACCATGTGACCTGCTGTGACCAATCACAGCAGGTCACATGACAGTTGTATACAATGGATGGCTTCATTCATGATGCCATCCATTGTATACTAGTGCCTAGCTGTGAATGGTCACAGCTAATCACATGCACATGTCATGTGATTAGCTGTGACCAAATCACAGCTAAGCACAAAAAAAAAAAAAGCTGAATGAATCGATTTCATTCAGGTAAA